TACTCGTGAACTGGAAGTCACCTTTGGGGAGTCATTCCGCAATTATTCGTGGATTGAAGTCAATCGGCATGGTGCGAAACCTCGGTCGATAGGTGCTTCATGCTTTGAAGCAGTATGACATGGATTTTCGCGCCGATATGGCACTTTCTCTCCTCACGCTCAAGCGCTAGAGATGGTCAGATGTACTCGGTAGAGAATGTATTTGAAAGAGCCTATATACTCTATTCAACGATGCCTCGCGCGTCCATTTTCGTCACTTCTTTCCCGAGTTATGATTTTTAGAAGTTATCGCTATCACTTTGTCCGAGGACTTATAACTCGACCTAATAGTTCGACAAATCAAGTCAATGGAAGTCGTGGGGCTGCTCTTCTTTCTCCCCCTCGTCCATCGCATTGCGTTGTCCATTATTCTTGTCAGCCGTCTCCGTTTCATACTTTCTACAGCAACTTGTGCTTTTTCGTTTTCAGTAAAATCCTCCTTGATCACGTTCCGCCGGCTCTTTCCTAGAGGATTTTGGTAGTCGCTTACCTTAGCTTCAAACTTCATTGTTTTTTTTTTGTTTGGGGATTGCTTATCAGCAACATTATCTCAACTTGTGCTGTTACTTTGAAGAGTGAACACTCATACTCCTTCCATATTCAACTTGAAAGCCCTTTCTTGCTGTGTTCTGGAAAAGCAGACAGAAGAACAAATATTCAACCCATTCCTACTCAAGTCTTTTGCTTTCAGCCGCGCCGTTTCTAGCAATGTCGATTTGGACGCCGTTGATAGTGATGCCTATGAACGCATGCGTAATGCTCTGCATTCAATCCATGCAAGGATCGGTGCCATCGGCGACAGATAGACTGACGCCGTGGGAGTTACCTACGCAGGAAATCCATACTTGACTCATATAGTTTGCATAAACCAACTAGACGGGTTCAGCTATAATATTGAATAACTTCTCGAAGAAATAAAAATTCAGCACACTTTGATAAATCCTGACGGCCGCATCTTGCATTTTACCCTACGGTCATTTCAATGTAATAATTTATTATCTTAAATAGAACTTTAAAAACTTATAAACACAAGCAGGGACTACAAGGTCACTTGAAGTGGCTGTAAGCATCCAGCATAAAAGATCGCAGAGAGTAGGAAAGCCAGTTTTTGTTTCAGCATGCACAAATGAAAGATGTCCGAAACAAGAACCTGACCATTTTCGGATCCGGCGAGGAAGAGATCTAAAGAGAAGCTATCATTGGCACAGTTACAGAACGATATGTTCCTCAAATGATAGGAACTTATCACAGTCTCAGTAACAACACGATAGCTTCGCAATAGAAAATGAGAGAGAAGGTCATATGTAAAGCTAACACTTCAATACACAAGCTGGATTAACTGAATGTTCCTCCTGAATTTTATTACGCAGCATTATTACGACCCGCCACAGCGGTACGAATCTCACGAACGATCTCCTCCTGCTTCTCTTTTTCCATAGAAGTATCGACGGAACGAAGATCACCAATAACCTGAGACAAAGTTTACAGATTACCCACAAACCACCGCTCGTTTCAATCACATTCTACTCATCTCGAACTATTCTTACCTTTTTAGTTTTACCGAAGTAGATTTCGTTAATCGTTGAACGCATTTTCGATTCCTGATCCTGAAACAGAGCTCCATTATAACACCTCAGATGGAAATTTTGATGAATTAATTGCAAAAGTCTTATCATACCTCAATCATTCTTCCTATATTGACAAGGTGAGTATTTTGGTCATTAACTGGGGAATCCTGGTCAATCTAAACAATATTCTTTATCAGAAAGCATTGAAAAACAGGACTCATCCCAGCCCAAAAATCGATTAAAGAGGCAAATTTGCCAAAATATAAATACACTCCTAATTTCTCCATTCTTTTCAACCAGCATCAATCCTATTTCTCCCTTCTCGACCAATGTCATACCATTAAGACTGAACCTATTTTTCTAGGGGAAACGCCGTATAAGTAAGCCCATAACTTACCATCGCTTTGAACTAATTCTATATAAATTGCCACTTTTTATTCTTCGCACTGAACATTTATTCTCACGCCTGTGACCGAGAGGTCGCCACTTTTACATCGGAAGTAAACCACGTTTCGTGAGTTCCCACAACAGTTACCCGTTTGAAAAATGCAACTCAATTCTTTGCGAGGCATTTCCTGTGACCTATCATTTTTCAAACATTAAAGGCTCATTTCATTTGGAAAAACAAACACCCCAGATCCAACTACGGAAATAGAAGAATTTTCAAGCATCGATTTAGCCTAAAATTAGCCCTGCGCGATATCCTGTGCGTGACTGATGATACATCGCGGTCATGTGCTGGGTGTAAAAGCATCACCGATAAACTTTCGGGAGGGATATCGAATTTCAAATATGTCTATCGCTAGGCTGGTACGATTAGGGACGAATGGAATATGTTAAGTTTGGGCCGCTTATTTGAAATTCTGTAATTCGAAACCATGAGTGTCAAAATATACGTTAATATTAAGAGAATGAAAAGTGTACGCATTGTCAAATGCGTACACATCTTCGACCTTATTCAAGCTGAGAAAGACATTCTTATAGCCACATTTAGTCCCTTAACGAACGTACCTGTCTAGTTAGTGATCCTCCAAGATTCATCATACCACTGGCTGGTTTATTTGTTTGCAGCCAAAGCATAATCGTACTCGTCAACTTGTAATGGACTTGACGCGAAGACTGCAAAAAGTATTAGAATCATTGGAGATATCCTAAAAAGAACGACACTGTGGCACTCAAGAACATAAGACTTACCCTTTCGTTAATCTCGATTACATGGATAGAATCCCAACATCCTTGAATAGCCTTTGAACCGTCTCCATTCTGAAAGATATTTTAATTAGAGCAAATAGGTAAAATCATGGTGCTGAAAAAGTTTTTGCTATCGTGTTGTTTCAATCTTCACTTCTGAAACAAGTTATACCACAGTCATAGAGGATAACCTGTGAGTAACTAGGAAGAAGTGAATGTTGTCGGCCGAACTAGGATACTTGACAAAATAAAGTACTTTAATCAAAATAAAAAAGTACAAGTCCCTAAGGGCGTTATATAACCTAGTGAAAAAACCAACTTTTTTGATAAGAACTACTCCGGCAAATCCATGGTCCAAATCCCAAAAGTAAACCGATGAGATACCTCCTTCGAAGTACCTAAAAACAAAAGTCGCTTGGCAATATGAACATAAGGCATTTGAGGAATGAATCAGCGAAAACACGAAGTGTGTCAACTGTATAAATTGTCAATTCGTATAAATACTCACATGTCTCTATAGCTTTCGAAAGCAGCGTTGGCTTCTATTTCCAATTTTCTCAATTTTTCTGACGGCAGTTGTGCATCTTCCGCTGGAGGGTCGTATGTGTTTGTCCAGGGAGATCTACAAACTCCAGAAATTCACATAAAACTTATTGAAGATACAATTTTTATGATGATAGAGTAAACGAAGCCATTTTACGCTTTGATGATCAGTAGCGATCGATAGGGACTTTGTGGACACCACAAGCAGTAGAAAAGGAGCACCCAGTCTAATGTTTACCTGTAGCTATCTCCGTCCCTGCTATAGTCACAAAGGAGGTATTCCTTGCCGGTTTCTTTGTCTTTCGCCACCTTCAACGGTTGATCAACGGTTCCTAAACAATAATAATACAGACGAATGATTCACGAAGGCTAAACCACTGATGTCTAAAAGAAATGTGCTTGGAATGTATAGAGCATGATAGGCTTAGTGCTTCGAAAAGATAACTGAATTGTTTGAAGTAGCTAAGCAGATTATTGGGCAGAGAAAATGAAGGATGTCAACAACACTGCTGCATAACAGAATTAACGAAGGTTGACAAAGCTCAAGGAATAAAGCTCATTCAGGGGGAAGTTCTGTAACTGGAACACTCACCCAAGAGGTCATCACAAAGTCCAGGAGCAAGGTCGATGAGATCAATAAGATTTCGTTCACACTGCTGCGGAGGTAGGCGACGCATCAAATCCAGTGCACAATCAAGTTGTTGCTCACTCTGATATAAATTACAAGGTACTCCATAACTTCGAAAAGAAAAACTTTCTATTACGCTATGGTATTGATAAAGTTTCTATTATATACGAAAGTTACGAAGACCTTCTGTCAACAACTGAAGTGGAATTGGCGCAACTGATCTCAACTTTCCTGCAAAATATTCCGAAATACGGATCAAAGAAAACTTGTAACTGCCGTCTATCAGAACTTTGGGTTTTTCGACATTTTAGGGTCAAAGTGGATTTACGGAAGCCAAGAACACGACCTTAAGCCATCTCACCATACTTTGGAACATGATCATTACTCTCGAGTTTTCCCGTCCGAGAGGAAAACCCTTACATACATTAAGGCAAATTCAAAAGAAAAACAGCAATCTATAAAAACTGACCATTTTTGCTTCCGTCGAGCGAACGAAAGTTCTGTGATGTTCTGAAAGAGGACAAACTTTGAAAACGTAACCAATGACAAACTTCGGCTTACGACGACGTCGAAAAATAAGCGCTTATTCCAAACAATACCAATATTCGAGGCTCACAAAGTTGCTGACCACCAATTAACAACTCTCAGAAACAAGTTTTTATCACGAATTCTCGTCCTTACGTAGCTTTAAAGGCAATACGTTTCACCGAAACTGTGGGTTCTGCAGATAAGGAATCTTTCAATGAAAATCATAAGCATATCAAATTTTTGATCTGATATTGCCCTCGATTTTGGAAACTTAAAGGTTAACAAAAAAAAACTCCAGAATTGATTTCGCAATCCCGCATCTCCTCTGTCCCCGCTTTCTCGCACGCGATACGGACCATGATTAATAGCAAACAGATGCAAGCTGAGCCCCATCCACCAATCATAGTTGGCAATATGACAAAATCGCAATAGTATAGTGCAATTCTTAAGTTCACACCAATTCTCTAATAAATCTGACACATTTTTAGGATGTAATTTATTGTGAGTAAAGCGAAATCATTACGAGTATTATGGTGCTAGAATAATTTCCTGCAATTTATGTTTCGGAAATTGATTCAAGGCTTTCATAGGTGGTTCCTAAGGCTTTATATAGCCTCTTTTTTTACCTTTTGAGACATTTTCCAATCATGGACGGACTACTCCGACCAGGAAGCGAAGTGCAACATGCGAAGGGCTACAAGGCTGGCTAAGCAGAGGCTCTAAGTTTCGCGGGTGTGAGAAAGCCCTTTGCTCAGCCTAAATTCCTAATAAAGCCAGCTCAGAATGAAAGAGGAGACACGCACTGAGCGGACCAACTTCAAGCAGCAAACAAATATGGAGCGGTAATGCCGCGTGACCATATTTGTAACAGTGAGTAGGCTTTTACGAAAGGCATGATGATAAAAATTAACAATGAATACAAACCGAAACGAGTCAAAAGATATTTCTGAGTGTGATGCCATACTGAATGAGCAGAGAGGTGGATAAGTCACATATGGGAAGAATGAAAGCAAAAACCACCAGGAGATGTAAGATGGGTGCGCCAAACATTCCCTTTTTAGTTCCGATTACAAGGCTTCAAAGACATAAGGATGGATTCAGAGAGACCGCACTGGAGAGACAAAATAGTAGGAGGATATGAACAACAATGGAAATATTCATGCTTCCATAGAATGAAAACATCAGCGACTCAAAAGGAAGCACATAATTCATAGCATTTGACCAATTTTCAGAACCCATGATTTGTTGGGAACGAGAAACTACTTATAGAGAGATTGCCAACCTTCTGATAAGAAGGCAGCACCTAAAAATTGGTCAAAATCCCGCCCCAAATCGAAACAACTTGGCACGTGAGCTCTCACCCCGTAAACCTCACTACGAAGAAGCGCTGCGGAACTTGAAAAGGCAGAATGCTATTGACAAAAAGGTCCTTCAAGATAAATTACTGGAGTGTACAAAACTTCTCGATAAAGCATCATATTGACCGGGCTCTGGTTGCAACAAATTAAGCACTGCACAGCTCAATCGATAAGTGCAGTGTTGGCAGCGAGCCAATTTACATTCGTGTCAGGACCATCGGTACTCCGCCTTAAATTCTGTGCGGCGTTTGCAATTTCTTCGCCTCATCCTGAAATTGGAGCTCTTGCCAAGTTTTTTTTAAGCGAAGCCCATCGCTACTTTTCGAACAGGCACGTTTAGAGTTATTCGTCTGCACTTTAAGCGGACTTTGGCTTGAGCTTCCTCCCTATTTATTTTTCCATCACCTCCCATGCATTTCTTGTTGTTCGTGTTTTTGATGTATATTTAAAATGCTCATAGCTCAAGTGGGTGATCTGTTTGAGTAGTAAAACTTCCTTGGCGTTTACGTATATTTGTCGCATGATTTTAATAAGGTAGTGAACTTTGGTTTTATTATCATTGCTTTCTACAGTCATCAAAATTGGAGGGCAAACGAGTAAGAATCACTCTCTCAGATCGGAGAAACATGTGAGTTTTCCGGAAGTTTTTCGTTCCTCATTGTTCGAAAACAATTAGTTGATTATATCAGAGGTGAAGGTTCTTACTGATTTTAGCGTAGCACGAGGGTAGCGGCCGTTAGTCGCCTGAGTGATATGAAGAGGACCAATAGTTCTGTGAACGGAGACGAATGCGTGCCAACTAAAAATAATACTAACGGACATCCACAGGTGAGCTATGTTTGATTTTTGGGATTTTATCATGCGCCATTACATTTATTCATTTTCGTTCTTATGTCTCTTGAAAGTGACGTTCAACTGCGATGGAGTTTTCATAATCAGTGTACTACGGCTCGTTTTGATCCCTCCTCTCTTTTTCGAGATAGAGACACTTTTTCTTTTTTTCTTTTTCGATATAGTTCGGTTTCTTTTTGGTTTCATCTTCAAAGTGCCGTCTTCCTTATTTGAAGTAATTTTCGATTAATCGTCGTAGTCGGAAGGTACCAGTTGCCCAGGCAACCAGGTTATTGCAAGTATTTGTTTACATGTAATTCCGCTATCTTTGGAGTTCATCGTGAGCTAAAATCCTTGTTTATCCCTGGCCTGTCTTATGACATCCTCCTCTCATTACTTCGTAAAACTTCGTCTCTCTTTATTCATATCCTCTTTCCGCAAACTTTTCGAAGACTCGCAATTTATTTTGTAACTTTTTCAGCTAATTGGTTTCTGCGGAAGTATTTTTTTCGTTTATTCTGATGTGATGTGTCAACATTGTCTATGGCTGTTTGCCCAGTGTTCAACGTTCATAAACCGGCCTCGTTACTGCTAGCTCATTAAGTTGCGAACTATGTGGTCGCATCTTGGTCTTAAGGGTTGCGTAAGGAATCTGACTTCACTAGTTATATCCTCCCGCTTACCCTGCTGTTCCTCTTCTTCGACGTGGTTGTAATGTCGGGCCGAAGACCACTCCCTCAGCATTTTTGTCAGCGCTTTTCCACATTCCATCCTATCCTTCAGTTCTTTTATGCAATCAACTTCCATAGTGAAGTGGGTGGGGATTATGAGCACAGTTTTTGAATACAAATGTTCAGAATCTCGGCTCCTTCCCACGCGCTAGTCATGTTTTCAAATCGTAGCGACAAGCGGATGATAGGCTTTGTAGTAAATTGTACCAGTGCACAACACATAAATTTGGCTTTTATACCCACTAGGAATCGCAATCGTATCATCGTTAGAAGGTGGCTCACAACCATTCGATCTTCGTTAAAGTATACTCGGTGTGAGCGAGCTTTACGGGTACTTATCCTTTGATGTCTCTATCGTTTATGATAATGTAGATCGTCTTTGTAAACCTCGATTTTCATGAGCAACACTGAACCGCTCAGTATTCACGCGTTCTTGGATTTGAATATACTGACACAACAGGGCTTCGAATTGAGCAGCTTCTCCAATGTTTCGAATGTATCTTCTTGGGTTTATGAAGATTCAGTCACAATAGCAATTGTGAAGCAGTCATATGCTCATAATCCTATTTATCTTCACTGACATAAATTTCCCAACCTTGTTTGTATTTCGAAAATTGCCGATCAATTGAGCTTCATTGACTTTTATGAGAATTAGGGCGTGACTCTGGGCTGTCTCTGAGTCTCCTTACTATCAGATTTTTTATTTTATTTATTCATTGAACACGCTGGATAAGGCAAACGTGGGAGGCAGTTGCTATAACTAGCAACACAACGTAACTTAGTTATAAGACAAAAGCTTTTTCTTAGCTAAGACATATTCGAGTCAGAATCATAAGAGAAAAATTTTCTTATGTTCACGTGATTCTACCTTTGTTAGTCCTTATGGCGGACTTTATCAATTATCAATTTCGATAACCCACAATTAGTGCTTTCATTGTGTGAGCGTTAACATTCCCCTTTGCCAGCATTTAGCAATTCTGAGGAGGGCCGCTTTGAAATTTTGTGCCAGTTGCTTCCCAAGACCCCTTATCAGCATATGTCGGTCGTAATCTTCGTTCTGTCACCATCTACTACCCAGTAACACTCCACCTGAAATCTTGATGTATGAAGGCTTAATCGTCAGTACGGATAATTAACGGAGCTTTTGCCTTACAAGCTCTGATATCTGTTCATCTCAGCTGTTACTATCCTTGCCTTCATCCACTTGATCCCTTCACACTTCTTTATCACATCTTTCATGTCCCTTTCCCGGGCCAAGAGCAAAGGAAGTTATGAATTACCGGTTAGTTACACAAACAACGCACGTCAACACACCCATATAGCGAACTAACACCTGTAACACCTGTCGTCCTGTTGATCACCTATTTGCTCAAGCGAGCGTCCTTCACCGCTAACTTCTTCATTCGTCCTCGAATTGGTTACTACATTGAACCCACGTCGCTCGAGGTAAATGCAGGGTACCATTCCGAGAGGTCCATCTAGAAATCGCCCGGCTGCAGCGGTCATCACAAAACCACATGCCGTGTCCGACCTACTGATCTTCGATTTCTTGGTATGAGCAAAAGCGCCCCCGTTTCCCGTCCGTTGATTCGTTGCATGCATACTAGTTAGATTATTGATTTCATGCAATTGATTACGATACTTTTATTGCTAGAGGAAACAGAGAGGGAGAGGATATTTTTAAAGCGTTTGGTGTGTTTTGGTCGTTCTTGCAGTTCGGCTTACAAAATGTGATATCTGGAATCGTTCCTTGACACTTAACTTGCTGGCTGTCATATTTTAAAGAGAGAATTAAATTCTAAGTTTCGGGTGAAGGTTCTATAAAGTTTACAAGAGTCAAGCTATATCGTGGCATCATGCTCTATGATTTTTTTTTTGGTTTCAAAGCCTGTGGTACTGAACTTTGAGATAGACGCAGCGCATAGCTTCGAAAGAGTCCTATAGAAAACCTAAATTGGATTAACGACAGAATGACTTCAGAGCAACAGTGCGCGTCAAACAATAATAATGAGTGTTAAGGGATTAGCCGCACAATTACCAAACAGTAAATTTATTCTTAAAAGCAAGATCGAGTGCTTGTCCAGTCATACTGAAGGTCATCGATCGCGTCCCACTGAAAGACTCGAACGCGTGACGTATGCTGAGCCAAGTGTCATGCTTATGTTTTGAAACTGGTCATATAGCGGAAAGCAGTCGCGAAACAGTGATCAGCTCATAGATAGTGTAAATTCACAGTGATTCTCCATACGTAGGCAGCCAGAATCGTGACAGTAGTGAATGAAGGAATCAAAAATCTGAATATTACTTGGTTTTACCTCGTGAACGATCGAAAAAGCTTTAATTGTTCAAAAGGTGGGATCAGAAAAGTTTCTGGTCATTTTGAATTGGCAGAGAATCAAATCACAAACGCTGAAGTCAACCTTTTGTGGCACTTCCAAACGCGGCAGATTCGCGCTCTCATTAAACAATGAAAAGAGAAAAAGTGGTGATAGTGGTTGCAAGCATTCCACACAGAAGACAGTTTCAATTTATGGCTTGCGATGACGTGCCATCGCACATTCATCCCAAATGTCTTGTAACTCGTTTTACAACCCTTCAAAACTTGTTTTTAACGTTTCTAGAAACCTTTTTGAATCGTCAAATCCTTGTGACATCGATGGACGCTGTTAGTTTCGTCGGTGGTTTGCTCTGTGTACTTGTTCATAGTCAATGTGTTAGTTGATTAATGAAGGTTGTCGACTCGGAAGAAACAAGTATTGTTAGTTGCGATTGCTACACCTACATCGTTGTCTTGCAGGTCTCATAATGTTTGACGTACCCTATGTCTTTCATTCAAAAGAAAAAAAAACTGAACTGTCAAGGTCGTAACATAGAGCTGGGATCACTTGAGTGTTCGGGAAGCGATGGCTTTATTTACTTATCACTACACCTTGAATCTTTTCGCCTCACTAAGATCATGATCTCTTGGAACTCAGGTGTGCATTGGAGAACCGGAAGCACCACCCTGTTGGTGGGACTTTTGTTTATGCTATGCTACCACACGACCTGTCAATACTTCTAACAGCTGCCGTCAAATCGATCTTTCTCATACATCAGTTGCTCGCTCGCTATCGGCTAATGGCGATCACGCCTCCATGAGGCCGTGATCAAGATTATTGCAGCTTTTGCTCTTTTCAAACACATATCTACCTCTCTCCAGTTTTCTGATGAATGAGATAGATCCTTTTGTTTTCTCTTCTTTCTCTCCATTTCTTTCTCTTGGTTGCTTCAATGTGAAAATAAAGCTCAACGGTTGTTAATGTACGCCTGTTAGGGGCAAGCCTCTCTGGACTCTTTCGGCATACTTTTTTCAAATAACAGAAATTCAATTCTTCCAATTTCGTTGAACTGAACAGTAAAGTAAGTATAATCAATACTGTATCTCGATGAGCTTACAGCCTCCACCTCACAAGCGTCTGAATTCCGCTACTCTTGAAGCTCAACGCATGGAGAAAATGGGTATCAATGGAGCAGGTGACGGTCATGCTGACATTGATCGTGTCGCTGTACTTGACTTTGGAGCGCAGTACGGAAAGGTATTAGATACTGCTTTCAAGTTAATATCATAAATGCGCTTAAATCAAATCAATTTTTGACCCCTTGTTAGCCTTAGAGGTCAAGCGGAATTTTCGATGGCATAAGATTACCTTGTACTCGATTGATTAGAATTACGAAAGGGCGAACAAACCATCGCTTATGACTCACAATGTACACTATGCTTTTAAGGTGATTGACCGCCGAGTACGTGAGGCAAGTGTCCTTTCGGAAATGTTCCCTTTAAAGACGAGTGCAAAGGAGATTCTGAAAAAAGGAAATTTCAAGTGAGTAACATAATGTTGTAGTTATCATAAGTTTTTGGTACGGCTGGGAATTTATTCTTCGTAGCTGGTTCAGCTAATGATAATTATTTACAGTGATTGTTTTTGTTCATGAGAAAATGGAGGATCTCATCTGCAATTTTCCGCAATACTTTCGAAATTTATTTTAGGGCGATCATAATCTCAGGTGGTCCGAACTCAGTTTATGTCGAAGGTTCTGCGCAGCCTGATCCGGAGCTTTTCCTCTGTGGTTTGCCAATATTAGGGATATGTTACGGCTTTCAGGTGTGTGAAATACGTTACTAAGCGTAAAAGTGATTTTCATTGGACGATTTCTAGCTAATAAATAAGGCACACGGTGGAGATGTGGCTAGGGAACAAGTCAGGGAGGATGGTCAGTGCAAGGTCTGGCTGGATACTTCCTGTGAGCTCTTCCATGGTCTCAACGAAAGCGAGGAGGTTAGCTCTGAAATCCGCAGTAGAATTTCAAATCCTTTATGAACATCTATCTTTTATTCAGGTACTTCTAACCCATGGTGATTCTGTCACAGAAAAAACCGTAGCACCTGGTTTCAAAGTTGTTGCAAAAAGCGGCGGGCATGTTGCAGGTAATCGGTCCAGTCGCATATGATTCTTTGCTAAAATTGCTACTGTTATTGATTGTTGTGGTTTTTGCTCCATGACATATTCGCTGCCATCGAATTGAGCGTTCGTTTTCTGAGCATTCTCTTTATTTGTGCTTTTGTTTTCCAATTGCTTAGTTTATTCGATTTTTTCTTATATCGATATCGATGAACCTACTCCTTCCTTTCCATTGCTTCATTTCTCTACACGCATCTATTCAGGTATCGCATGTCCTGAAAAGCGACTTTATGGAGTGCAATTCCATCCAGAAGTCGATTTAACACCAAGTGGACGGAAAATGTTTGATAATTTCCTCTTCCGTATAAGTGGCTGTTCTAGCTCCTATACGATGGCTAACCGTGAACACATGTGTATCGAAGAAATACGGAAGACTGTCGGAGATAAAAAAGTTTTGGTAAGCAGCATCAATATATGGTTTCACATATGTTATGTCTGCCTGTCTACCAGCTTTTACTTTTGCTTTTGCGCTTTAAAGGAGATATCACAATTATCACAGGTGCTTGTCTCTGGCGGTGTGGACTCGTCAGTTTGTGCAGCATTGTTGAGTCGTGCACTTGGGCCGAGTCGTGTCACGGCGATTCACATTGATAACGGATTTATGAGAAAAGATGAAAGCGATCATGTCATAGAAAGTCTCAAGGAAATTGATCTGCCGGTTCACAGTGCGTGATTTCGATTTCTCTCTGATAATGAGGGGGATCTGGTGGGTAGTATGAAAAATTATGATTTAGGAGAATATGCTGGCCTCAAGTTCATGGTTGCCACTGCTTCCGGGAAAACAGGTGAAGGCGAGCCGTTGGATCGAACAGTCGATCCTGAACTGAAGAGACAGATCATTGGAAACACTTTCATTCGAGTGAAGGATCGTGTTATGGAAGAGGTAGTTCTAATTTTTTCCGAACTTAGTGACCTTTTAATGTATCTACATCTGACTTAGTTGAAACTCGATAAAGAGGACTACTTCCTTGCACAAGGGACTTTGCGGCCAGACCTGATCGAAAGCGCCAGTGAAATTGCAAGTGGGCATGCTGACGTAATCAAAACCCATCACAATGATACCGCTCTTGTGAGGGAACTACGTGCATCAGTGAGTTATTTAGGTTCCTCCTTGAAGACGAGAAGTAATTTTTGTGATGTTTCTGTGCAAGCCATGTGAAAATTCCGTTTTCCAGGGACGTGTCATTGAACCCTTGAAAGATTTCCATAAAGATGAAGTTCGTGAGCTAGGGCGAACACTTGGCCTTCCTGAGCAGTTAGTTAATCGGCAACCATTCCCTGGACCAGGATTAGCTATAAGAATTATCTGCGCTCAGGTAAACGCCGTCCATATCTGGCTTGCTTTTCCTCTGGTGTTATTATTTTCTGGAAATTCGCTTTTATTTCATTGTTCAGAAGCCGCATATTTGCAATGATTTTGGGACCACACATCAGTGTCTCAATGTCCTCACAAATTTACGGCGTCAACCAGCAACGGCCCTTGAAGTGGAGTACCGGGAAAAGGTAGGCGATATTTTTCCGATTTGAAGAATTCAGAGTTCCTCACTTCAAACTTTCAGATGTTGGCCGCAATGAATGGTTGGGAAATTTCTGAGCTGATGACACAATCGTTTGCTATTAACGCTACTTTACTACCGATTAAAACCGTAGGAGTACAAGGTGATAGTCGGTGAGTCAGATATGGAAATGCCTCTGATAAATGAATAATCATCACCTTCGCTCCTTTACAGATCTTACTCTTATGTTGCTGCTTTGTCCACTGCACAGCAGACTATTCCTTGGCAATTACTAGCTCGATATGCTGTTATAATCCCGAAACTACTTCATAACATTAACAGGTTAGCAGCCAATATACCCCAAATTCGTACTTACTTCTCAACTTAAACTGCAGGGTCGTGTACGTTTTTGGTGGACCGGTCAATTACCCGGTCACTACTATCACTCCGACTTATCTCAACGCATTCACAGTAAAAACTTTGCAAGAGGTTGGTGTACAGTTTGTTTAACACTGATTCTTGCTATATATCGTTTTGATTTGCAGGCTGATTATTTGGCCACGGAAGCTTTGCACGGGAGACGGATAGATGGTAGCCGTGATCCTGATCTAGAAGATCTCAGTAAGAAAATCCAACAGGTACTCTCCTCCCATGTTCAGAGCCTTTTAATTCAATTTCTATCGTGTTTAAGCTTGAGTATGCCTTAAAACCTAAGTGAGTGCATCTCCTTGGATTCCCGTTCCCCTATTTCGTAGAGAACGAAGATTCTCTACACACTTGAGATTAACCTTTGATTGAAAGCCGTTCCTTCCTATCTGCCCTGTTTTTTTTTTACAGTTTTTTTTGTGCACGAGATAATATTGATCTTTTCAGATGCCTGTTGTGATGATTCCCGTTCACTTCGACCGCCCGCCTACAGAAATCAATTCCTACAAACGATCTTTTGTATTACGGCCATTTATTACCTCAGATTTCATGACTGGTATTGCGGCGCTGCCGGGAAGGGATATCCCAGAAAAGGTCGATTTTTCTTCTGTAACTTTTGGTCTTTTTTGAGGTTTTTTTTTGTGATTTGTCGGGTACAGTTTCGTAGTGCTTGTTTGCAACTTCTCTTATTATTGGACCAGGCTGGGGATGCTGTTAGTCGCTCCAGCTAAGAGCATTTCCGTTACCGTGTTGTATAGTAGTGGGGACGTCGAACGTTGCTGTGGTGCTGAGTCAAGCTAGGGTTAAAGTTGCGCCTCAGACAGGGTTATGTCTCCTTCTCCACTCGTCATTATCTCCTTCCTCAAATTCTTGATATTTTTCTTGTTGCGCCGTTTGTTGCTGAATGTTTTCTTTGCTTCGATTCCAGTTGCGCTGTGAACCGACTGCGGTGCTCCACCTCAAAGATCTATGCAAGTGTGGGGTGTATGCGATGTAGTAGCATGTGAGAGCGCAATCTCATCAACCATTTTGCAGAACGTATTGGAAATGGTACGGCGAATCAGAACATACGTCAAAGGAACTTCACGAGTCATGATTGATCTAACTAGTAAACCTCCGGGCACGACGGAATGGGAATGAGTAAGCTTTGAATAAGTGATTCAACCGCTCGATGACTCGATGGTGCTATCTGGATCACATCTCACAATCAACAGTATTCATTTCCTTATCTGCGATATCACTTCTAGGCTGTGTTACCGTTAGTTTCAACAGCCAGTGTTTTGCCGTTTATAGTAACGAATGTACATAACCATTTGGCAAGACATTTTACTATTGTGAGGGGTCAGTCAGGAAATTAGTTAGTTCACTATAGTATGTTGTTATCTGAACTCTTATGGATTGTTATCGACTTGTTAGTCGTCTCACACAAAATTATCGCTCAATTTAGCATTTCTGTTCTTAGTCAATAAGTTTTTCTCCAAGGCTGTGCTTACAACCTTGCGAATTTGCATATGAAGACGCGAATGATGGTAACCGGTATCCATAAGGAGCGGGAATCGGGCTGCCTTTATAAAGACTTTGTTACTAGGGTACCTGACGAATCGTTTACTTCTGTGTTGGATTTTTCCATGTATACTCTACGTCCTGACGTTAAGTCAGGCACTCTTACGAAAAATTTCTTCCGATTATAGAGCGTGCATTTTCGCCATCAATTTTGGTTTCACTCAAAATTAAAAAAATTGTTGCACTATGTTCAAAGAGTCAAGAATCTTAGCCGTTCTTACAAGCGCAGCTTATTCGATACATTTGTCCTGAGGACCTATTCCTTCTTTTGGTGGGCTTTGCTTTTCTCAAGAAAGGCCCCCGAGCAATTTGAAGACGCAGAGCAGAAACTTGCTTTTGAATAGTTTTTGAGAATGAATTTGATTTCGAAACACAAAATTTCATTGGAAAAGTTTAAACTGGGAAAGAAAAGTCATGTGTTATTGAAAATCGTACAGCATAGTGCACCTCGCTATCCTTGAAAAGGTACACGCACCCCTGTAGAAAAATTTAGTGGCTGTGGAAGCTTTTTACGGTTCTGCGATGCTTCAGTCCATGCAGCGGATTAGGATTACCATAATCTTAGCCCGGCTAGTGTTAGAGATTAGCACCTTGTAGGGTTGGGGATTATGCGTGGGTCTAGGGTTCAGGGTTTAGGTCTACGTTGCTATCTCGCCCCAAAGCATGCTCAACTTTCGAAAGAGAGCTGGATATTGATAAATTCCAACGAAACTAAGCGGATAACTCTGATTTTTGTTATGCGAGTAGGAACGGTACTTGTCTCCCATCAGCTGGAAAATGGGTTTTTTTCAAAGAGTAGCACTTTTTCCCTTATTGAAAACAAAACCTGGATTCTGTGTTGGCTCGATCGCGTTTTGTTTTCATTTTCATATGCACATTCTTGAAGGTGTAGGTTATTCTTTTTGATATAAATTGGATTATGATTGTCATTATAGTATCACTGAGTCTCGTTAACGTTGTGTTTTTATTGTAAACATTGATATTGTGGTTATTTTTGGATGTTCTTGTTTTATTCTCTTCCAGTTTTCCCATTTTTCAAAATCTTGCCATTACTGTGCATGTTAGGGAGATTTTGTCTTCTGGTTTGTTTTGAGAAAAGAGTTCATACATTATGTTAGATATGGTGTCCGTGTTATGCCGCTTCTCCACCTCGTTGTTACATTCCGTTTCTTAGGAGAATCGAACTTGAAAAGCTTTTGATATGGAGTAGCATCGTAACACCGTTCGTTTATAGATCGACAGTTCTTCTTACGATAGTTAAGGTAGCCTTAATGAAATCCTGGTTGTTGTTGTTTAGTTATTGCTGGTATTTCCCGGTCATGCATTGCCATAAGGCAATTGCTGCGAAATATAGGCTGCTATCAACTATTGCTGACAGCAAGATAAAGAGTTCCTTTTTTCTGTTCACGCTTTCGTATTTCTCGTGCTGATACGGTGTCATATACTGCTTCGCTGTTTTATTTGATTATCGACGGTTCGTAGTTCTTCCAATACTTTCTTCTTTTTTTTTCGAAGATTTAGTTGATTCCAATGGGTGAAGGAAACCGATGCTAGCGAGAAAGAAACAGTAGCGACTTCAAGTGAGAGTTACTCGGATGTCATGACCTGGTTTCCAGTTTCGACCTTTGATGGACCAGCACCCCTTCCTGGTTCCCATATAATTCAATCACCATTTCTAGCTACGTGGGAATATGTGGGAGGGTCCTTGGCGATTGTTTCCGGAGGTACTGAAAATTCCTAAATTGATGCCTGAAAATCAAGGTCTTTCCTTTAGACGTTCGATTCCTCCATTTTCATATTGAAGTAATGTGGGGAGCGATCCAATCACTTCAGGTTTTGATTGTTATGGGCCCCTGAGGATAACTTAAGATTAGATGAATACAGTGGTAAAACATGGCTTTGGCTTTTTTCTCCGTTTTCCTGGCTTTATAAAGGCATAAGGACAGGTAAGGGGAAGCACGTGAACAGTAATCTAGAGAAGTTGGGCTAGGTTGATTCTATCCCCAATTGGGTGTTTCAAGTTACATAAATTGGGTCAGAACCCTGAGTCAGAAGAGCAGCCCCATAGATTCTTGCACGAATGCCGCATTGAAATAACCGTTGTCCATACTCTTACCGATTCCTATCATTTACAGCCTGCGAATCGTAGCCTTATCTTTCATTTTGAAACTTTGACGTTTCTCTATCTTCTCCCAAAAGATCTTTCTCTTCAAGGTGGATGATCTCATGATTTTTATCTATTTTTTATTGCCACAGCTGCACTTGTAAACCAAGAAGTACCTGAGTCAAAGATTATGACAGTCTAACCTTAAACTTCGAAACCCGTGGTATGTAGTCAAGTGGTTCAAGCGAATGAAAGATTACTGGCACACCCTTGGCGCGCTGGCAGCACGAACAGATGTGGTCGATTTATTGCATCTGAATTCCGAAAAAAGTGAACCTATGGGACGGACACGCGATAACGATGAAAAACGAATCATCTGCCCTGCCAGCATCATTTGTTGCCTGCCAAACTCTTCCTCTCCATTTCTTATTCTCACTCCTGCGCTCGCGCTATCGCGTTATCGTCTCCCACTTCATGCGATCTCCACCGATTATGACTTGACCTCCTTTCTGTTGAACTTTATCGAGGCTTTTTTAATGGCAAACTCATTTAATCAAGGCATATTCCGTCCTTGCATCCGTTTAGTTTACACTACTCACCTCTTGACGTTCGAATGACGCTATGGACTATTTCGATCATTCACCTGGAAGGTCACGGTTCGTATTCGGTCACGTGCTACGAACCCGTGACTAAACGGGAACTTCGCCAGGCTGTTTCGTTGGCCATCTCCAGGAGATTTCTTTCTTGTAAGATTTGCCGGAGCAGAATGTGGGAATGGATGGTAAATGAACGACTCCTCTTAATAAGCTGCGCTGTTCATTTTGCAGTATAGATTCGTTGCCATTTGTTTTGAGAACGGTCACAGTCCTCGAACTTGCGTTCTTAGTTTTCATCATGATTCTACTTCTCTTGTTTAGTAGGTTTGGCTCCATTCTTTTTGTGCAGATACTGTTTTCTTGTTCTTGAAGTTTTCCCCCGTATAAGCTGCAGTCTTCTTCGAAATGTATTGCGCCCTGCTATGCTATGCTTCGAATAGACATATTCATCGGAGTTCATGTTCATTTGATGGAGAGCGACCGTTGAAACTCACCGCTTCTTACAAGTCGCTGAAATGCATGAAGTAAGACTCATTAGTGCCACAGATTCCTTTCTATTCATTCTTGTCGGTAGCGTGACCATCCAACAACATTGCGGGATCTTAACCTATACTTTTAGTGGAAGTTGGACAGAAGTAATGGCTGATTTGATAAGAATCAGATGAAACATCCTCAGCTGGCAGGGAAGTCCCTTATCTATTGAGTTTCAGAATCATAAGTAATAGATAGCTACATGGGGGTGTAGGTCACCTTTTTCATCCGGTTTTCATTTCATTGCTTCGTTTTATAATTCCCTGTGGTCTTCGTTAGCGCTAACAGGTCCTGCTTTTGATGGATGAGATGATGTTAGAGAAGTAGTCGAATTTCTGGGAATGACTCCGTTCACATTGATCATTATTGCATTTTTACTGGACGGCGCATTCTTTTTCATCGTCAGAATCATCGGAATGTTAATATCACAGCGCAACTTTTTTCGATTTATATGTATGCCATCTGATTCTCAACATCAGTTGTCTTTTCAGTTCCGCGTTCTTATTTGTTTACTGTTTCGAGCCAATTTTTTGTATAGTGTTCTTTTAGGATCATGTGGTAGTAAAGTGCACGTAGTGAGCAGTTGGTAAGTTTGGAGAAAATTATCTTCCAGTAATGCAGCTTAATACAAAACACTTAACACTTAACGAAACATAGGCAGATTACGTTTATTTTACATTGCGCTGTGATGTCAGGGGCGTTTTATTCAGGATATTTTTGTTTCTCATTTTGCTCGGTCGCTCCAGATGGACCAAGAGCCACGACGATTCATTTCCTTTGTAGAATACTGGCGTGAACACACCAGTAAGTTTCAGCTGTGGTTCGAAGAAATGTGAATGTTTTGTGAAGGCTAACCTTTCGGTTTTTCATTTGAACTTGACTAACTGCTGCATGTTTTTGGAAGCTGTCATTTTTCTTCCAACAGATCCTATCATACTCATTTCTCAGCGTTATTGCAGCTTATTTGAAATCTAATGTTGTTTACCTAATTGTTGTTTTGTGTTGCCTTATTCACTATGAGTTCATCCGATTGCGCGATTGTGTCGTTTGAGAGCAGTGAAAAGATGGATAATGTTAATAATTCGATATAAGATTTTTTCGGAGGGTGCTATTGTCTATCCCTGTTGCTCTTGCCGTCTCGTTGGCTTCTCGGTGTTCTACTCAACTGTGTTGATAGTTGGGCTGTATTGCAGCGAACTTTTTTCGTGGTGACGATTACACAGCGGAGGACTTGTCTAAGATAGCGCACAGAGGAAGAATATTGAAGAGGCTCCTGGCTCAATCTAGTGTAAGGAATTGAGACTAGTCAATCATTGGGCAGTAAAAAATCGGTATGTTCAGCTTGAACTCCCTCAAGGTTCTGCAATGGAAGAAGGTACTAGTTCTGATGGAAATGAACGCATAGTGTTTGTGAAAAGGCCAGGTTTGTGGCTTCGCTGATTTCCAGTTCTGTTGAAATTTGAGCACCATTGTATATTCAGGTGAAAACTCGCCTCCATCTGTGGATTGCTTTCACTGTGAAAGTTGCCACGACCCCACCGCTTCTGATTTAGGACCTGGACAGTGTCTTGTTCGTACGCTATATCTTTCCGTTGATCCAGCACAGGTTCATTTTCTGAATAGCAATTATAATTTCGTATTCTTTTATATGCTGGGCAAGATTCGATTTTTGGATCAGACCTAAGCCTTGACATGACGTGAGGCGTCATTATTTTCAGTGGAGGCGAAAAATCATTATTCTCAGACCTTCTAGAATGCTCGGAGGGCGCAACTTTTTAATTTGAGCAATTTCTCTTGCGTACACGGTCCATTATTCTGTTTTCAGAGATGTCGTATGAACCCGTGTACTGGAGTGGATTACCTGGCTCCTTACGAGCCGGGCGAGTTGGTGGATGGTCTGGAAGGAGTCGGAGTTGTTGAGGTTGTTTAATTCCCTCTTTACTTGCGCTTTTATACTCACTGTTATGATTTTGGATCGTTGGTGAGAACAGCGTCCTTGTGTCTGGTGATATTGTCACATCTTGTGCTCACTTATGGCCATGGACGAAAAGGTTTATTGCGGATTGCAGTGATCTTGTTAAGGTGAGAAAGCAGGAGAGTAGCGGGGCAACTAATCATACGGTGCTGACGTTGGCAAAGTTTAGGTACATCTTCCTGATGGATTCTCTCCTTCTATTATTTTATCTTGTGTGGGTATATCTGGCATGACTGCTCTTCTGGGTATTAGGAAAAAGGTGATCCTTCATATTAGCTTATTCAACAGTTGTCACAGAGGCTTCGAGGGCTCATATTAATTGTAGAATATCATTTAGGCAGCGATCGACAGATCTCGACCCCAAACGATAGTGGTATCTGGCGCTGCAGGTAGTTGTGGTAGTCTGGCAGGGCAGGTAATTATTTAAATTTTGGCTACTCTACTGCTCAATCGTAGGAATGGGGAATATGACGTTGTCTATATTCAGATAGCTCGACTCGAGGGTTGTACCCGAGTTATTGGAATCTGTGGTACCGAAGAAAAGTGCAAAGTTTTAGTGAGTATTCTTCTTTTGTTCGACTTGAGTCGTAGTATTGTTCAATGGTAGTTTGCTGAATTTTGGTGTTTAAATGACAGTGTTTTATACTTTTTTTTATATTTTCTATGTTCTCATGGTATTCACTCTATTAGGTGTCCGAGTTCGGATTCGATGGAGCTATTAACTATCGAGCAGAAGCAATACCGGATGCTCTTTCCTCTTTAGCTCCTGACGGCGTCGACATTTACTTTGATAATGTCGGAGGGTTCATCAGCGATGCAGTGATTCAGCATGTTGGTCAACATATTCAAAGTTCCTATGCATAGGTGGAAGAAGTCTTGTAAACTTCTGATGTTTAGATGAACATTGGGGGTCGCATAGTCTTATGTGGTCAAATTGCCGTTTATAATACCGATTTGCCTTACCCTCCACCTATCCCTGCGCAAATTGCTGAACTAATCCGTTTGAAGAATATTCAAAGGTTGTTTTCATGTCATATCAACTTCATTTTTTACTCTGATTTCATAATCCTGCTTCTTTGTTTCAGGGAACGATTTCTAGTGTTGTCCTATAAGGATGAAATGGATGCGGCAGTGGCGCAGTTGTCTCATTGGCTACAAGAGCATAAACTCAAGGTATGCATTGGTGGGATTCTTGTGAAGTAGGTAACTGAAAATTCGAAGTTGGGAATGGTGTGCTTGTAGAGCATTGCCTAGCGATGGGTGAAAGATATCGCGGCCTATGTTCTGGGGTTGTTTCTTGCTACGGGACTCGCAACTTGCTTTGAAATTCCATTTCTTCAAAAAGTTTTTTTTCTCTTCAGAAAAAAGGCCTAGCTTTTTTTCTGAAGAGAAAAAAAAACTTTCTTTTTTTTTCTATGGTTTCTGGTGGCCAAGAGAGTTCATGTTCATAAATTAACTCACTGTTACAGCTTGGCCTTCTGACCTTCTCGATGGACTTTTTGTGATTTTGCTTCTCTTTTAACGGCGAATTAGTTTCAACTTCAGACGAAAAGTGTCGTTATAGGTTAGGGAGACAATTTACGAAGGGCTTTGTAAAGCTCCACAAGCTTTTGTGGACATGATGGCAGGGAAAAACATCGGTAAAATGATCGTCAAAATATGAAGTCTGACGGCATACGATGTGGTTGCCTGAGAATTTCTCCATTTCGGGCTACATCGTAGCCTATAACTGTTCATATTGTATTGGTATATTGACAGGTTTCTTTTCAGCAGATAAGCTTGCAGAGAATGGTTCCCTAGAGATTGTTATTTTGCAATCCACTCTGTAGGTTTCTGTAAATTTCTCACCCCCTTCTCATAGCCGAACTTGTCTGATGTACTAGAAGAGCTATTCGTTACTTGGAGCATACTTATTTTGTAGGCCATAGTTTTACCCGAGGATCGTACTACTTACATTTCTAATGCTGTACTGTAGTTTCGATGAGCATTTTCTGTCTGAAGGACGAGAATGTGCTTGTAAGCTTTTTTTTAAATTTCTGTGAATATTTGTGTCCACACGATATGTTGTAGATGCTGTCTGTTTGNTCCACAATTCCATTTTCACAAACTATAATAGGCAATAAGTAATGGTATCGTTTTTTGAATGACATTTTTATATGCGAATGCTTATTTCCCACTTGTCAGTGCCGTATAGTCTTTCTATAATGTATGCTTATTGATTGGAATAGCATGTGTTTGGTTTTTAATAAATGCTTCAAAGGTTGTGCGCTGTTTAGTCGTTTTCCGGTGTAGTTATCAGGGCTTGTATCTGGAACCGATAAATTTTATTAGTTTTGCTCTATCCAATAGATTTTCTTTCTAGATTTTTGGCAAAAGTCTCTGGTGAATTTGAGTCGTAGACAAATTTTCTTTGTTTTTAGTATTTTCGTTGAGGCATATTTGTAGGTATGGAAGTGTTAAACAAACAAATTACTTTTCTTACTAATTACGAAGTATTGGATTTGCTTAATAAAGTCAAAAAAGAGGAGGATAAGAAGTCGAAAAATGATAGAAGCAAACATCTTTCCACAATCTTGTATGAGGTATGCCTGGATCTTGTTATTCTATTCTTATTTACGCCATGTTTTTTTATTTCATCTTCAATTACCTTCAGTATTACATGCCGAACTTAAGTAATTTTTAAATATTACCCAAAGCAAAAAAAAAACTCAAAAACTTAATAAACTTTTGGCTCAAGGCAAATGATAACTTTAGCTGATTGCTCGAATGCTTCAGACCACTAAATACCTCAAAAAAACTCCTGCTGCTGATCAAAGTGTGGAGGCAATCGAAAAGCTCATAGTTGATGTTGCCCCGTACAAGGTAAGCATACTTTTGCTTTGTTCATTAGTGTATTTGCTTCAGAAGGCAGGCTTATGTAGTTGAGAACAATCTTCAATGTACCATTAAATTTTCAAAATTCATTGAAATTCGAAATTCAAAAGTTTTGAACCTCACAGGGGAATTTTGGCGAGAGGTGTTAACAACTTCCAGGTTCTTCTAAATGCAATTTAATGTACACATCTTTTCCGAGATGTTAACCCTTGAGGTCTCATGTTTTGAATGGCCTTGAAACGAGTAGTTTTATGGATTGAGCTATGGGAAAACAGTAATGCATGGGCTAAAAAAGAGAGTGATGTGTAGTTCCGCTCTGTCATCGTCAAATTAAAATTTGCTCAAAATCGTCAAATTAGTCGCTTGAGTTGCTTGAAATGTTGGAATGGTGTTGCTTCCTACACCCGTACTTCAGGCGACGTAAGTTTGATTGGCTGATTGAATGATTTTGTCGTTTATGATTTTAGCGATTGATTGGTCATGATTTCCGAGCTTATTAATAAGAATTTTGAAATTAGTTCTCCATGATTAGCCAGAAATAGGGTTATTAGTAAACATTAGCTAATAGGACCCATGAACCCGAAATTACCTCGAATGGGGTGTGGTGCGTTAGGAACGAAATGGTCGCGTCGCTGTGAGAGGGGCGTCGCGCGCGAAGGAATGGAGCAGGATGCAGCAGTAGGTAAGAAATATAAGAACAAAAGTACTAATAGTAGAATTATGCATAAAATAATGATCGCATATTGATTGAGCTGTATGAAGAACGCTAGAGCTGTAATAACGGCGATTGAGTGGTCCGCGACCGCCGCGTGCGGCAAATCGATTACCCAAAATCGTTCCTAACGCCCGTCTCCCCCTCGAATGATTGATGCTCTGTTAACTGAACCGAATTCGATGAAGAGAATTCGGAACTGCTCGATCTTTCTTTCCAGTTTTCTGACTTTTCTGCGACATTGTTCACACTCCAAACTTCAGAGAAACTTTAGGTCGATCGTGGTCGCATTCAGGCTCTTTCTCGCTGTGTACATTGAATAGAAGTTAGGTGCATGATGCATCTTCATAAGAATCACAGCCCTATCGTTTTATCTTCAAGAAGTGGTGCTATAACAATGTTGTGATCTCTGCCTAGAGATAGCGGCGTTCATCATGAGAAAATGCGAGCAAAAGGACCGCGAATGATGAGAAAATTTGAGGGGGAGGCCTGCAAAGTTTTGTTTTCCTATGGGTAGCCATCAGTTTGAAGGGTTTCCTCAGAGAAGATGAATGCGATCAAATTTTTGGTGGATTAAAAGTGCCTACAACAAGTTGTTTTCGGAAAAATCCTCTATTCTTTAGTTTTCATAGCTCTGCTGCAGCTTGACTAAACTCTCCCATAAACGTGAAGCTGTTCGGTATGCCATAGCGCAGTGCTTGTTCACCAGATTCTGAAGACATTATCTTTATGCTACTGTAAGGCTCATCAGAGCCCAAGGTCTTGCTGTTCACGCTGCTGTACGTTTTCGTATTTCCAGGCGAACATACGAATCTTTTTTCAAAGCCATTAGAGTATTTTTTGAGACTCTAACTTTTCAATGGAAGTCGTACAAGTGCGGTTCTCAAATGAGTTGTTTAGCGATGACCAGTTTATTGGCTTTCTTTTGTCCTGGTTATGACCTTTTTCAGTTGACAGCTGCAGAAACATTGCAGCTAATAAACCTTCGTCCTAGCACAACTACAGAGGTAACTAATTCAAAAATATGATTGCAAATGAGCAAATGTTTATACATAAAGAACATAATTTAAGATCCAGTTGCTAATTGAGGAAAGCGAGGAACGAATCAAAACAGAAGAAAAACTCGAATCTTTGGTGAATGTGAGTATTAAGAAATGCTGTTGCTCAATTGTAAACAATGTTCTTATTTTTAGGTTGTGACTGATTGCTTACCTTCGCGGCCAGCCAGTAGTATGACTCAGTAAGATCTCAATCAAGCCTTCACTTACGAAATAAATGCTAATAAAGGTTCTATTTCTGAGGTTTGTACTGTTCCATTTCAAAGTCGCCGCCGTGAGTACTCACTTGTTTACTAGTGATAGTGGTAATTTATTCGGAATTTGCATGCTCAAAAAATGCCCCATTAGGATGTTCCCTCAACAGTTAAAGCCACACTCTGACATATTATGTCGTAGGTTAGACAGTCGAAGGCCCATCATTGGGGCAGGCCTAAGAGAAGAATTACTTTTATAAATTAAAAACCAGAGTCAGCGGATCGTTAGGAGTTCAGTTATTTGGTGATTGAACCGACCAATGTAATGACGTCAGTGTTACTGTGCATTTGTTCGAGTTGTTCAGATGGTGACCGAATGCGACTACGAGAAACTAATATGCTCTGATTCTGAGTGAACTCATTTTCGGCTTTCGTTTGAAGGCGAAATTTTCCAAATCGAGTTTGAGATCAGAAATTTTCAGAAGAAGCCTACTTTTAGGCAGTGACTGGGTCGTGATGTGCCAGCATGGCTGGGGATTAGCAATGGCTGCTTCCATAGTCCGCCAGCCGGCGCGCGCTCGCTCGCTCGCGGGCCGGCGGACTATGAGAGCAGCCAGTCGTGTCGGCATGCTGTGCGGCGAGGCAACTGACCAAGAGTTGTCGCGTGATGTGAGAGTAGCGGAACTTTTCCAATACAACCCTGTACATCTTAGCCTCTTCCAGTGGCCTACTTTTTAGGGCTGCCCCAACCTACCCATTCGATTCATAATTTTCTGTTTCACGACGTCCTAGCTGTGATTGTCGTTGTCCTCCGGTCGTCTGGCAGGAAGTTAGAGCTCACAGTACACAATTCACCTTTTTCTCGAAAAATTCGCCTCACAGAAGTGAAAGTTGAACCACTTGGTCTCATATCTTATACTTAGGATATGAGACCAAGTGGTTCAATATATCCTACCCCACTGGTCGTGTGCGAATTTTGAGCACTGTCAATCTGTGGGGCCTAGTCCCCAAATTAGGCTGGAAGGCATAAGGGTCCATTCTGGTCCTGTGGCCGGATGGCGTAAAGCTACTCCCGAGTGTTTTTGTGATGGATTGGTTGTGTTTATGCTTACTATGCGCTGAGTGTGAGAACGCTATAAAGAAGTAATGACACTAATCCATCTTCATCTTATGTATCAACAACTTGAAGCTCAAAGACGTGGCTGGCAATCGTAAATAACCCATAATTACCAGTACATATAACAACAACAAGAAGCACTACTACTAATCCAAAAAATTGCTTCCGGTGGCTTAACAACAGCTCATGGAGATGCTTCTGCTAGAGGCTTATCAGATTTGGATGGAACTCTGAAATCCTACCGTCTGAACGTACAAACACGGTCTCTCAGCAAATGACACTGGTGCTTGGGGAGGTGGGTTCCAGCAAATCTGTAGCAAAGTGGACAGAAGGCATTCGCAAAAAAAAAGTAAAATAAATAATAAAATTAAAATAATAAATTTTCAACCATGTTTCATTCCATGACGGTGGAAGTGGGATTGGGGATGACTATTTGTTTAGGTGCTGAATAACTCGTGATCAATCAAAATTATTGTTTTAATCAAATACTGTCCTCCTAGCCTCTCCCATTGCCAACTGAGATCCTGAAAAACTCGGTTATATTTCGATTTTTCTCTTTCATGATGAGGACGAAGACGAGCAGGGCCAAATGGGCCTCAACGACACCTATGGTGGGAATCAATTCCAATGTCAAAGATCAAGCTTTCTGAAGTTTTAGTTAACTCCATGAAAGGGGTATAGCTACTATTCTAATATCATACGGTAATTCCTGCCATATTGGTTTTCATAGAATGCATTGGCCCTCTGTGGTTCATCCATTATGCACTAAAGTGGTTACTTTTTATAGTACCAATAACTTTAACGCAAGTGCTCGCATATGGCCCGATAGAGCCCATTTTCTGATGATGGGCACATTGGAAGTGGAGAATTGGTTGGATTTGTGGTCTTCGGTCTTAGAGTCGGTTATTTTCGGTCACTGAAGTATCGAAGCTCTAGAAATCAGTATCCGATATCGATTCTGAGAAAATGGAACTAAACTCCTACTTTATAGGCAAAATACGTCAGTTAAGCTGTAATTGGCTGTAGGTAAGCTGTGGTAATCTCGAGGTTCGAAGATAACGTTAATTCCTGATGCTAACCTGCGAAGGTATATTTCAAAAGTTTCGAGATCTTTCCTCCGATACAGTAATGGATGAAGCTTGAAAGTAGCAGTAATTAGACACTTGTGCAGGCGGTGTCGATGCTTTGATTGCGCCACGCATTCGAAATTCGTTGGAATTTTTGGAAATATTCGATAGACTGTGTGGCTCACAAAGTAAAATACAGCAGCAATTAAAATTCTGTTTGTTTTTCCAAAATGGTTTGGTATTATCCAATCGACTCCGATGAAATGAGCGACTAACTGGCTCCGGAACTTCCCATAACAACGGAGTACTATATGGAGCGTAGTCCTGCAAAATCCTGGATCTGTCATTCGAACAGTCTTCCTTTTACTGAACTGGGGCATAGCCGTGCCCAGGGCTCTTCTTCATAGTCGACCTTCGTTTCTATGTCTAGGCTGCTCTCGAGCTGATTGTGAGAGTGTAATCTTAAGGTTTATCCGAAATCCGATCGCATATTGAATTGGCTATGGCGATAATTGCCCTGTCTGTCTAGACGGAAAATATTTACGCTTACGGAAATGGCTGACCCCTTTGTTTATATGAAGGATTCTCGCTTGTTAATGCTCTCGGTCTCTGGCCATCTCCTCCTCAAAAAAACCACTTGTTCAGTCGCCAGTTCACCATCCTATTGTCATTCTCGTAATTTACAGTCATTCTGTGACAGGAAAAAACCATCTATAAGACCACATGCAGTTATGCTTGAACAAAAAGACTTACTAAAATCGTAGGGAATATAATTTATTTTTGACAGTGCTTATTGGAAGATCATAAATACACAGAGGGAGTATGGGCAACATTATCATCATGAATATAACTTGAACCACTTGTTTAACAATTGTGGGAGAAGCATTACATTCAAATTGTTATTGTCGACTGAAGGCGTGTAGTCGTTGATCAGAAGATACGGTACCTTAACATTACATAGTTTCTATAATAAATGCCAGTTTAGGAACCAATGTTTCTAATTTCAATTTAGTCGCTGGAGCAGAACAGTGGATCGGATGATATCATTGATAACTATCAATAATGAGAAAGACTATTGATGATGTAGTTGCAAGTAGCGCCGCTACCCTACTCACAGTTTGAGGATCAAATCCTGGACTCAACTTGCATACTCAAACCGACCACTCTCTCGGTTCTTCCAATGGCCAGTAATCAGCATCAGATTAGCCGAGAAGGTAAAGCCTGGTCTACACAACCAGTGGAATGCCAAATATGTTTCCCGATAACCCTTGACCCCTCGACTATATGTACATGGAAGTCGTATACGTGTCGCATACCATAGCATAGACGATGAAGCAGGAAGCGGTCAACCTCTTCAATGCCATACATTTTACCTGTCGAAGATGCTGAAGGCTTCAACTGGAACCAGGCCGTAATCGCTAAGGTAAATTAGTTTACTTACTAGGTGATAGCGCTACTAAACCTCTGAAGGGAAGGTTGGAGAGATTTGGATTTGGTAAGATTTGATCCTGTTAGCTGTCTGAATTTGTTGCAGCGCCTATCCTTACTGATCTATACCATCTCTCAACTCTATTTCTTTTCTGGATTCAGAAAAGAAGTCATCTCTTTTGACAAGCTTCCGAAATTTCGAGCTTACCTCTAAAATCGGATGCGGCTTGGTGCTCATTGTCTTATGTGCAGCAGAACGTTGCAGTTGGATTCCTCGCTCACCGTCGAAACAGTACCTAAAGGACCTCGATAGGAACAAGCAAAAAAAATACGACAATAGCATAATACGAATTTGAGGTTATGAAAAGTGATTTATAAATTTATTGGGTATGTCCGTACCTGATTTGTCGGTACTGATTTCGAATGAATGCTGAACAGGCATGCATTGCTTGATCAACCGTACTATGATGGATGATTCGTTCGAAGCATACGATGAATGGTAAGGCTCCAGATGACTGGAATTGATGGTTATGAGGATGACTCCTGAAAGGGAAATCAAATTGGCTGACCTTCAAGACGTCAATGACACATGATTGTAGACGATTTGCATCACATTCCTTCCGTCCGTGATTACACGAGAATGAGCCATCCTGAAACGTCTCCACGTCACAGATATCACAGCCAACGGTTATAGATTCATGCAAACTCGATGGTAAGGGTTCTAATTTGAACGATGGCGTAGATATTTGAAGAAAGCAATTAGTATAACTCCAAGACAGATTTCCAGCTCACTGAAGAAGATTTGGGCAAGGGGACAGCATTTGGCTTCATTCGGCTTTATGAGACTTCCGAGGGCTGTTGATGGCATGTTCCCTGTTCGTTTATTCGATGATAATCTTTGAGGGAGTCCTTCAGCCTCAACCTACCTTGTGATGCTCCTGAGGGCTCTTAATGGCATAATTGCCCCTGATATTTTCATAGTTTACCTAAGTTGAGCATTTAATAATAAGCTTGAATTACTCGTTTGTCCGGTACCTGCTCAGGAAGTCTGGGTAGTTTACCCTTGGGGTGAACTTATCACTCACTCACGCTCAAAACATTGCATCAACAACAGTCTTGAAAGACGAAAAATCCAGAGGATGTTTTCCATTAATCAATGCAAAATCAATTATCGCAAAAAGTTCCAGGGAGAACAGGATTTATGGCTGCTCCTCACTTGTAGAGCTTACTCAAAAACCGCGATCTGAACTGAAGTTGCTGTGTTGTGATTAATTGCTAGGCAATGCTGAACTCATTGTAATCGAGCGAACATTGGACAGCTTTTGAATAATTCGTACCAAATATTGGGCTTTCACCGAATTTTTATCCATCAAGATAATCAATAAAGTCTTCTGCGGTAATCAGCCCCAATCTGGGATGCGTCCTGCGTACGACTTTCATTCAGAATTCTCGTGGCGTACTGAATGCGTCTACAATGACGTGCGGTGGCCAGCCGATGTACAACTTAGTATTCCTATCCTCCTAGACGATTCCAGTACCAAAAAACCGACCCCGATGGTTGTATGGAAGTGGTCCACTTGCAACTACACAACGGCAGCCCTTTCTATTCACAAAGCTGCTAAAAAAACGGATCGTTGATCCGTTTAGACGAAGTTATGGATCTATCTGAAGAGTACATGTAGGCCAGAGACGTTAGATCAAGGCGACTAAAGCCGGCTTGAAATCGCCTGCAAAGCTTGTTTTTACAGAACTTTGAGGGCATTCAATTATTGCCAGGAGTTTAAGCGCAAAACGACAACATGGCGTGTGCTGGACGAGTTCCTGTGTTGGCAAATTCGCGATACTTTTCATCTTTCAGCGCTTACAATCGTAACAATCATGACCACATACGCGATTTGTTTACCATGTTTACTAATTACTACTCTGTTTCGTGAAGCTACCTTTTTTTTCTGATGAAAACCAAAATTATCAGACATTTCGGAGAAAAATTGATTTGTATACTTCTTTTTCGGTTTTTTGTCTATCAAAGATCATCAGTGAAGCTGATCGAACCCCGCTGCTGCAATTACGCTCAGTTCTTGACGTATTTTTTATCGTTGTAACAGACGTGAAGTGCTGTGATTGCATATATCACCGGGAGGTAACGGGAAATGGTCGTTAGAAGCCGATAATGCAAGCCCTGAAAAATTGCCAATCTCCTGTATCACAAGGCTAAAGTTCAAAAAGTGAGGGTTGATGCTCTCAAAGACACTACGAATCCCCACTTCATAAAACAAAATGAACTATTTGAGAAACTTGTTAGTGATCGGGCCATTTGAGGTGCTCTGTTGAGGTGTACTTGAACTGTACTGGCCATGGAAATGGTAGGGAGGGCACACTCGATGTATCAAGATGTTTTAACGATGTTTTTCGCAGCTCAGGGCTGTTAACACCACCCACCCAAACCCTTCAATTATCCTTTCCTCCGCCTACCTTTCAGGGGATAGTACCAATTACTTGACTTGATATTTCCTAGAGGTCTAGCCGGTATTCTCAATGGAATTTTCATGTTGGAGAAATATATCGATATTCCAGTGCAGTAAAGCCTGAAAGCCTCATATTGCGATAGATTCAATATGCCTATAACCCGAGGCCATAATAAAGCCTGTGGTGTAGGAAAAAAGGGCGATTGGATGTCCTTGCATTCAAAGTATAAAGTGGATTTATCTGTTCGAACCAAAAAGTTCGAATGATCGATGATCAGATGAGC